CTCTCTCTCTCTCTCTCTCTCTCTCTCTCTCTCTCTCTCTCTATATATATATATATATATTGCCAATTTAACTATGCATGAGAAGGTATATTTCACTTTTTAAAAAAATTAAAATGATAATAGCTTTATGTAAAATGAAAAGTTTGGTTGGTGTAAATGTAAAAGATGAACTTTAGGTATTACATATGTGATGCATAAGGATTGGGAGCCATAAATGTAAATGAGTTTTTGAGAATTTTAAATTCATTTTAAGTTGAATATTATACATGAATGCCGTATTAAATTTAAGCATATACTTAATTAAAATGACTTTATGATATAGGAATAATCTAATTAAGTATTTATACATCCTTTTCACATTTATTTTTTTTTAATTTTCTTACATAATAGGCGCATTTGGTTCATAGTACATTGAAAAGAGTTCATAATAATTATTAAATTTTTAATTATTGTTCTTATGAATATAAAATAACTAAATTTGACACGGCTTGAGGAGCGCCGGAAAATTTGAAATCAACTCCAATTTTTAATTATATCTAATTAAATGATGAATTTAACTAAGAACCCTTTTGCGGAAGCTTATGTTGTTGTACCGTTTGGATCATGCGTTTTGCCCGCTGATCCGAAAATGCGGTTTCAATTTTATGTTAAATGCAGGACGCTGGTCAAACCCCGCGATTGACCTGTGGGCCGCATTTCAGGATAAGTTGCTTATCCTGAAACGCACAAGCTGTCCCAAACACATCCTAATTTAAGCAAACAAATAATTCATGAAGAAAAGTCAGATTTGAACTCAAATTCATTCAAGGGCCTTTTTGTCTAGTTCTAATTTTAAAGAGAAATTTACACACACACCATAACATCTTATGTATTTATGTATCTGATAATTAAAATTTAATATTTACGTTTATAACAGTTTGGCATTATAAATTTATGCATAAAAATGCATGTTTAACTTTTGAAAAATTAGTTATAGTAATACTAAATGTGAAAGGTTCAATGTTGGATATGTAAATACATAGAATTGTTATTGTGGAGGAGACAAGTTATTGTAAGCTAACATATTTTTGTTTCTTGTAATGAAATCCTGCATAAATTTCCTTGTTATGGTTTTCTCGACAATACGTGTCTAATTTCTTTTTCGTGTCTCTGTGATGTAGCGGTAGTGGATTTAATTGTAATTTTTCCGAAATTTTTTTGTGTAAATGTTTTCATTGTGCATTCATTGCCCATGTTGTTGGTTAACATATGAATTTCATTTATTCCTAATTTGCCCAACTTTCTCCTCAAAGTACAAGTACCATGTCCCGTTCATGAAGGGAGTGGTGGTCAATTTATAGACATTATGAGTGAAATCATCTGTAAATCTGCATAAATCTAACAACTCCATCAGACTACCCAGAGTGATCCTTTTGACCATATAGTGTTCTATGAGTATATATTTGGATTTCATTTGGTCATTCAATTGTCCATCCAAAGCCTATAATTGCCCTTATATGGCTTGATTTGGGCTTGATCAGACTCGATCAATCCAATTTTCGATTCATTGTGCTCTCATTGTCAAGACAGTCAATTTGATTATAAACTTGCAAGAATCGGGCCCAATATGACCTTAAATTTTAATCTGAAATTTTATTATCCGAAAAACTTCAAGAGTCCTGCATGATTAAAATAATTTTTTAAGATGTATCGAGAAGATATTTTAAAACCCTTGGATTTATTTTTATATGGTCCAATACATAAATAATTGATATTGTATTAATCTGAAAATATATCTAAACATTTTAAAATCTTTCCCAAGCAAATTTTAGTTAAATATAGTAATATTAATTATTCTAAAAAAAGAATTTATATCATCATCACAAATAATTTTTTAAAATCAGATATCATCATGATAATATTATTTATTTATTTTTATTATGATCATATTTATTATTAATCCACCTGTTGTACTTGAAGCAGACTATGTAAATTTGTACTGGTGAGAAATTCTGGCATTAAATTTTGATCAGAGCGAAATGTATAGCTATAGATATGTTTTGAAGATAACATAATACAAAAATAATTAATCAAAAATCATATTATGCTAATCATAAACTAAATGTACTGTCTATATACATTTGATTATTAATTTGGGAAATTTACATATATGTCATACAATTTTTATGTATTTACAATTGTAACGACCAAAGTTTGATATTTGTATTTATAACGTTTTGTTTATTAAAAATCTAAGGGAACTATTTTTCTTGTTCAATGAAAGGGTGCAGGTTCGCCCGTGAGAGAAGCGAAAGCATAGGGAGCACCTTAGCTAGTTGTAGAAGATGCGATGCAGTTCACAAGCAGACTCTTTGAAGATTTGCACAGCATTCCTTCCTTTTCCATCTCCTTAGCCAGCTAACATTTCGTTGATTCTTGAATCAGAAAACTCTTGCCTTTGATTTGCTTCACTTTTAGAAGTTGGTGATAGTAATTCTTTTAATGTGATGTCAAACAATCAAGTGTTATGTATGTAAATATGAAAATTTTGGGATTAAAGATGTAAATATATAAAATAATTATGGGGTATGTATGCAAATGTTCTCCTTATGCTGAATCCAGAAGTACAGTGAAACCTGCAACACACTGCTCACGAGCTAATTTCGAACACGAGCTATTTCGAACGAGCCGAACACGAGCCAAGCCTGAGCTCGTTTACAGCCCCAGAGAAGTACATATTCTTAAGAAAAAAATACAAAAAACAGCTATATTGACAAACAAAATTAAAAAAAAAAATGCTATTTTCTATCAAATTCACAATAATTTTATACCTTTTAGATAATAGGTAAGGTATACCGTACGTAGAAATTGGAATAAAGTGCTATGTATGTAAATACATAGATAAGGTGGTAGGTATGTAAATACATAGGATATAGTGGTATGTATGTAAATTTACCTCCCCAAAAAAAGTCTAAATAGTCAGAAACAAAAGCACCAGTATCAATTAAACAGGCTGCTAATTAACTCTGTAAATATTATTACATCTTAAGAGAGATTAACAGCAAAAAAAAATTAAAAAAGTGATTAGTCATACTTAATTAATATTTGGCTGCTTCGCCTGTCCAGTAACTCTTCACAGCAAGCAATATCTTCTCAGGATTAAAAGGACCGCTCTCATGATCCATGATCTTACTATCCCATCTCATTCCCTTTATAATTCTCTGAATCTTCACTAGAATCTCTACAGTATCTCTGAACACTACTGTTCCCTCTGGCCTAAGTATTCTGTCCATCTCCAGTAGAATATATGTTATATCACACCTGCAATATCTCGAGGTTAGATTTCTAATTTTTTTGTTTTTACATGGTCGTACGGATGAAAGCATAACAGTAACATTTTCTACATAATTTGTTGCCTTGCTCAAGGTTAGATTTCTAATTTTTTGTTTTTACATGGTCGTACAGATGAAAGGATAACAGTAACATTTTCTACATAATTTGTTGCCTTGTCATTATCATTTTCACCATTTTTTCTTGCAATCTAATCATCATTGACTCTTCTTTGTCGATTCACTTAATAGTTTTTCTAATTTTGCGGTTGGGAAATTGACAAATATGTCATTTTTAACCCTAACATGTAGAGATGTTAAAAAAAACTATTGTTTGCAACTAGCTTTTTTCAGTTCGTGATTTGTTGGAATACAAGAAAATATATGTACATCAAAATCCAAATCAATAGCCGATCACGGAACGAATAACGAGCTTACAGAAGTTAGACTCATTTATACCCCTATGGACATAACATAAAACAAACAACAACAACGACAAGCCTTTAATATTGTCATTGTCGGGTCCCAAGCCTCGGATGTGAAAAGTTCCGGTCTGCGTTAAATAGTCTATAGCCACAGTAAAATTTTTGTTTAGAAAATCATGACTCAGTGACTTCAATTTCTCACAATGATTTGAATTATATCATGATAACAGATAGAAAAAGACTGATTCCCTTATCATTATCATAGTAGACAAGAATCATATGCATTCATGTTAAGAAGAAGATAATGTTCGAAATAAAAGATTATTATAAGAGGAGGAATACTAAAAAAATAAGAAGAGCATGAGTTGAAAGAAAGTACTCATCAAGCATACCTCTGTTCATAGATACTGAACAAACCATCAGCATGAATGAAGTCATAAGTTCTCGGATAAGTGGAGAAAGCTTCGCACCAATCCTGATAAGTGCCAATGAATCCTCTTTCGTAGATAACACCAAGCGTATCACGATCAGAATTCGTTGGAACAACATTCATAACCCAAACTTGGTACTTTTCAATGGCTGCAGCAAATCCTCCAAGTTTGGCGTTCATGTCCATCACATTTCGATATCTCCCGCGGTTTAGTGTCGGTATAAGCTTCTTGTAGTATGCTATCCTCTCCTTCCACATCTTGGAATCCTCCTCAAATGTCTTTGTAGTGACGCCGGAAATGGTTCCCTGGCTTATTCGGGGCGGCACGGCCAAAGCCCTCTCAGGCCATTTTTTAAGCTCCCCGCCTGCGACGGCACTGTCTTCGCTTGTTTCCGGCAATGGAGTGATGCAAGTTTTCATTTTTTGGTACCAAGCGGAATCGGCAATGCTGCTATTTTTACAAATGTGGGGTGTTTTATAAATTTTTCTTGAATTGATGCATTTGTTATGGTTGATGGGTTTCTGCCAGATAGAAAGATCTTCCTTTTCGATCACTTTCTTCCAGCATATCTGTGTTGCGAGCTCCTCTATTGCGTCTTGCTCATGTTTCAGATCTTGTTGAGATCTCTCCCAGCCTCTGTAATACTTCTTCCAATGGATAGGAGGACCTGATAGAATCCAGAATCCTCCTGGTCGTAGAACCCTGTCAATCTCCAGTAGATACAGACCCTCTGAATAAAAAATTATGTAGAATCTGTCAATATTTTATACAATATTTTAAAGTCCCATCTTTTTAGCAAAAAAATTACTAATTTTTCAATGGAAATACGTACCATGAGCATGCCAAGGGATCAAGCAGCGAGAACAGTGAGCCATATCGAAAGATCTTGCAGGGTAAGGAATTCTCATTGATGCCATTACTCCGATCATGGCTGGAACTCCTCGTTCCAATGCAAACTGGACCTGCGCCTCGTGTGTATCTCTCGGGGCAAAGGACATTGCCAGTATGTTCCTCTTCAGTAGATAAGCTCCCCAACTTGCAACCTTCAAATTTTCAAAAAGGGTTTTAAAAAGCTTCAGTACCCATTTATTTGAGAAATGTTTCACAGCAATGAAAAGGATAGGATTTTTAAGAACATACTCCACAGCCAGTATCAAGGGCAGTTCTTACACTCCCATCAGTTAATGGAATGAGTTCATTGATATCATCAATATAAGCATCGGCGCCTCGTGGAAACATAGTGCCACCGCCTGGGAATCGGAAACGGTCACCTTCAACCTGGATCCAGTTCTGAACGGCCTTCTCAATACTGAGCTCCTTGTGAGGAATGTTGTGGTACCAAGCATAGTCTCTGCTTTGAGGCCACTTGAAAGGAGTCTTGTACCCTGGGGGTGCTGGGATCAAGCATCTAACTTGTTCGTCGTTGGTAGGACAATGCCGCTCTCTGTAAACCAGCATTGCTCTCTCAAACCTCCTCCCTCTGGTTCGATCTTGGCAAGGAGTGTATTCACTGAAGTTCATGGGACAAGGTGGAAACTTTTCCATGGAAGGTGAAGTATCCTTGAGGTCTAGCTGGTGGTGAGCATTGAAATCAAGTTTGGCATTGGATTGTGAGGCACCGTTGAGGCTGCTCTTTGACAAGGCGGCGTTGTCGTTGATGTCGTCGCAGCCAACTTTGGAGACATTTGAAGAGTTGGGTTTGGGGATGGAACTGTTCTGCCAAGCGCCGAGGAGGTAGAAGATGACACACAGGCCGCTTATTGCTAGGATCCAAGTGAGGCGTTGCCTCCTTGATTCTAGCTGGTTGATTTTTGGAAATCCAGGGAAGTCCTTGGCCATTAGCCTTGGAAGAAAATTAACTTGTAGGCTTTAGAGGACAGTGAAGATTCAGAGCTAGGGGATAAAGCAGATCAAAATGGAAATTTTAAGATGGCTTTGATCAAAAGAGAGAGAAATTAAGCTTTACGTTTGGTTGAAGATATTACAAAGGTGATTTTTTTTTCTTTTTAGCCTTGCACAATAACAAAAAGAGCGGTCTTACTACATATGTACATGCATTTATTATTCTACAGAGCGCCAATTCATGCGGTTTCCGCGCGGTAATAAGGGCTAAACACGGGAAGAAGAAGAAGAGAACTTATTCAAAACCTTAAGATTCATAATAGAAGCATTTATTGTTGAAGCACTTTATTGCTTTCATAAATATGCATCAGATAATTCATTGAGGAAAGAGACCGTGAGAAGGAGAGAGTTATTGCAGAGGTCATCAATGGACTGACCATGAAACGTTCTTTTCACAAATACTAAACAGGAAGACGAGACAGCAAGACAAAGAAAAAGGCCAAAATCACTATAAGCCGTAATTGTGAAGCTCCAGTTACCCTCCCTAAAAGGCGAAGATTTTGAAACATACCTGATCAGTCCGAGTCTCCTGCCAAAGAGAAGAAGATGACCAAACCTCCGGAAGGAAAGAGGGATAGATATCACTCTGCAATGACACAGAAAGAGAAACAAATGAGAAATCATAATCTTCTCACCATCATACATGCCGAACGATTACCTGTACAAGCTGCCGGCTTTTCTTCCTTCTTTTCCTAAATACAAATACGGTGAAGCTCCCTCGAAATTGCCTTCTTCCTTTCTTCTTCTTCGTCTGCTGCAAAGTAATCCAAATTAAGAAGGAAAACAAAAAAGTTTCAATTTTTCAGGGAAAACTTGTTAAACTTTACGATTGCCTGCTGGAGATGGAGGATTGGAGGAGGCCCGAGGGATCTTTGCTACGTGGCGCCTTCTCTCTCCATCACACGGTTTTTGCTTGCTGGTTAATGTCCGCTAGGTTAGGATTGGAACAAATGATTCGGATCAAAGGATTAGGAGACTTGCCAGGCTCAATTTATTTAAATTATTTATTTATTTATGAAGATATAATTCTTAAATATAAGCATATAAGCTGATAGTTGCTGTTAGAAAACTATTGCTTTGTAAAGCATTATATCTGTTTGAATGATATATTGCACTTTAAGTGTTTCTTAAAAAAAAAACTGTTATGCTTATATGTTTACCTATTAGTTCTAGGTCAGCAGATTAAGGGTCTGTTTGAGGCAGCTGCAGCTTACCTAACTTCTGCTGATAAGCAGCTGATTCTGATAATCTGCTGATGAGCAGCTGATCAGGATAAGCTGTCTGACTATTTGATTTATGCGTATGGAAAACAACTTATTCTGAAAAAATGACCATTCTGCCCCTGTTCTGAATAAGCTGTTTTAGTTGTTTAGTTTGTGCTTTTGGTAAACAATTTATTCTGCAAATTTTTCTAGTTAAAAACCAAACAGTGTCGCAGAATTTATTATTTTCTCAAATGTCACTACAATAGATGTTCCATAACTCATTAAAATTTATATCCAAGTCAAAACTCAAAAGTAAAAACACCAAATTCTTAATGTTGTGCGCCTAAAACAATCCAGAGAAATATCATCATTTCCATTGCAAAAAAATACTGACTTGAGGCAAGTAAATCAAATTGAAAGATAAAGTGACATAATATGCACTAGTAGAGTATCACTGACTCTGCGAGATAGCCCAGTGCCCAGTTGCCGCAAGATCCCAACTAGGCCTTGTTCTAAGCAGTTAACAACTCCAAATATAATATATATGTATATAATAACAATCAAACAGTGGCTTCCGAGTTATTGCCCTTAAAGAGAATGAACTTAGTGAAATAAAAAATAAGATGTTTTTTTTTGTGAAATCAACTCCAACATGAATGTAATCCTTCGCATTATAACATCCTAATAGCAAGCCTTCTATCAAATTCAGGTATGAAAATTTCTTATTGTTAAGGCTGGCAGGAAGGGTTTGAACATGATTTAAGCAGTATTTAAGCTAAATCCAGCTAAAAAGCAAAAAGGCAACCTTAAATCCTACAGGTTCTTAAAACCAGTTTTGCTCCGTTTTTCCTTAAATCCAGAATTTAGGGTTTAGGGAAGCTGAAGTTCGCATTTCCTTAATTAAATCCAGGATTAATATCGCATTTCCAAAAAGGCAACCTTAAATTTCATTAATCTTCAGCTTCCTCAACCTTAAATCCTACAGGTTCTTAATTTAGTGTAAAATCTTCTCATCCACAAATTTACCGGATTTAGAGAAGCTGAAGATCGCGAAGGCGGGTGTGAGGACAGGGGAGGGAGACGAGGGTTACCTTCCTTTGTTTCAAGTAGAAGCGGAGCAGAAGGAAGAGAAATATGAGAGTTTCAAACGTCTTCGTACACAACGATCCCGTCGTTGCCTTCCCAACTAGCTTTGATACCGACAACGACGAATATGGGTAATGACGAATGGCGGCAGTTCTCAAGGAGGTCGTCGGATATGGGTAACAACGAGCTCCCCGTGTACTCCTCCGGTGAAGTGAAGCTAGGGGACCGCGAAGTTGATTTTGGCCGCTAGGGAGAAGATACGAGGAGACGAGACGAGGGCAGCTGGGTAAAGTCACGAACGAAAACGCGGGCCACGAGGTTGATCCTGCGACTGGCGTTTATTAAGAAATAAAATACCCCGTTTTCAAAACGCAGTCTAAAAGCGCTAACCAAACAAGAAGGCGGCGTTTTGAAAATGCCGCCCGCACTTATAAGCTGTCCCAAACGGGGCCTAAAAAAAAATTTAAATTGAACAACAAAAATAAATTTCAATGGTTAAAATAAGTAAAAAGTGTATTATTCTAGCACATCGAGCATGAAAAATCACTTAACACATAAAAACATATTAATAAAAATTACAATAACAGGAAGTAATCTTATTATGATATAGTAATTCGTGTCCAAAGGATCAAGTCTTCAAGAGAATTTTATTTGAAAAGCTTCCCTCCAAATATGATCACTATCTGAAGTGAATTTCTCACTATCATCAACTCATCTAAAAAATTTTTAGTCATCGAGTGTTCTATTTTTGGGACACCTATAGAAAATATTCCCATAACTAGCATCTTGTCTTGAAGTATACTCAGAACATTGCATGCTACAATTGCAGTACTGGTGCACACTAGGTAATTCAGAACGGTTGAGTAATGAATTATCGTCTTAACATTGCATGAAAATCTAGCACACACTCAGAGAATTAAAGAGAAGTAAGCACGAGAATACACCTCAACTTTTTACATGAAAACCCTGAAAGGAGAAAAATCACGGGGCCCTAGGCCAGTTGAAAAAATCTACAATAATTGGCGAGTACACATGTCCACCCTTCTCTTGAGTTAGAGAAGATGGAGTTACAAAGTTGCAAATTACAAATGTACAACAGTAGTTCATCACTAATAACTGAAATCTCGTTGTGATGACTTTTGTTCGTGATAATAGCAGGGTACAAGAATTGTAGTTGGTTGCTATGGAGACAGTAGTTTGTCATAGGCCATAGTTAAAAATCATGATAGTAGTTGGCCGTGTAGGCCACAAATGATTGTTTCAAGACCTTTGGTTGGCCACAGAGATCATAGTGAGAATTTTGGAGTTATGAGCCATGTAAATTGTAGTTGCTTACGTATGACATATTAGTATATTGTGATGACATCGGTAGTCAACAGAGATCGAAGTCAGGAGCTGCATAAGTTGTGGACTACGTATGTTGTAATTGGCCTCACATATCGTAATGGTGAGCTCTGTGAATTTCGTAGGTCACAGAAACAAAAGTTTGGAGCTGCATGTGCTATGGACCACATAGGCTATATTTGATCATGAATGTCATAGTGGTGGGCCACAACATGAGATTTTTAGGAGCCAAGAGGAAGTCATTATCTTCAGGGTGCATTGTTACACTGGCTTTGGGAAGCATCGTTGCACCGTATATGAGATACGTTGTTACACCATCATCTAGGTGAGTATTTGCACCATATTAAGGGTGGTTGTTCTGTTGGGCATTTCATTGTTTCACTACTAATGATGGGATTATGCAATGCACGTTGTGACTTCATAATGGACTTTGCTCCAAGAAGCAAACAATGACCAATGGTGGTCGACGAGAGAGGCCAACAGGTGGTGGTTGATCCCACACTGTTTATATGCAACAGTATAACAATGATTTTAATTATAGTCTTCACTTATATTTCCTTACTTTGCAACAGTGCCAAAAACTTGATCCTGAAGAAAATAAGAATTTCACTTTTTAATTTTTATATATATTGGAATACTACGTGACCAAAATAAAATATGTTGAGATTTTCATACATATTTTATATGTTTTTGATGATATTGCACTTTAAAGAAGGGTATTTTTGATGTTTTGTTGCAGATATGATGAATTATGATCATTGGAGCAAAAAGATGCAAAAAGAAGCGAATTTGGAGCGAAAATGACCAAAATATGAAGAATTGAACTAGGGCGCCAACGGCGAGCTCAACGGCGCCGACGAAGAGAATTTCCCGAGACTCCAACCAATTATTTTAGAGGGCTCGCCGCCGCCTACAGCGCCCTCGATGTCGTCGATGGCGAGATCGGCGGTTATTTCAAAATGTGCATTGAATGTGGACGATTTTTTGAGGGATGCTTAGGCAACTATTGGGAAAACTCTTCTACAACTTTAAAAGAAGATTTTGGCCAAAAATGGAGGAGAGTTCGAGGAGTTCGAAGGTTTGAACAGCGTCCAAGAGCCCCAGTAGTGTGTAGAGAGTTTAATTTAGGGTTAGATTGTGAGGAATTCTTCGAGAGATTGTAAGAGTGGAGGAAAAGTGAGAGATTTTTTCCTCCTTGTTGTTTCGAAAAAGAATTCTGTGTGTTGTAATGAAAGAAATAGATTCAGAAGAACTTCGAGGAGTTTGCTTGGGGAGGAATTAGAGATAAGTGTTATTTACTTGTTGTAGTTTGTATGACTTTGCTATTATATATAAATTCCGAGTATTGTTGTGTCTTCTCCATGAGTTCTGAATAATTTTCTCTGTCTTTCTCCTTGTCTCAAGATTTTGTGAAATGGTGATTTGAATTGGTTGAGCCTTTGTTGAGTCTCGAAAATGTTAAAGAAGTTGTGATGATCTTTTCACTTCGATCTTAATTTAATTTCAATCTCGTCAATTGATTTGTTAAAATTTGTTGAGTTTTACAACTAAAGTGAGATTACATCCAAGATTCAGGGAGGTCAAAGCGCTTGGAAGTTGGGTGCAAATAAATAGGAAAATAAAATTATTGGGCGTAGAATTGCGGGCGTAGAATTAAAGATTTTAGAGTGACATACTAAAATCTTCAATTGAGTCCTATCGTTTTGGTGCTGAAGTGTAGTTGTTAGCCCTCAGACGAGGGGAACGTGGGAGCTCCGAAGTGAGAGCCGGTATCCTTCCAGCCTAGTCGCAGATTCAGTAACGTAACCAAGCATATAACCAAGCATAGGATTAGTCAATGTTCTTTATGTCTGAACCAAAGAGAAAAGAATTTGTATGCTCCTATTTGACACAATACAATTTGAACTGATTCACTTTATCCATTCACTGTAATTTCTTGACAAGGAGAAATATATTTTCTTATATATTGAATATCACATTAGAAACTTTATTAGTAGAATTAGTTATTTAAGAGCTATTAAAATTACATATTTATTTCGATTGTCTATTAGTGACATATAAGAAATTTGGATTATATTGTTGTGATTAAGTATTGATTTTCTAAAATCTTATTTCGTAGCCTCTAATATTACTCTCTGTGAGATCAATTTCTAGGACTCCATTAGAGCCCTGTATTACTTGAGTGATACGTATACTTGCGTTGATAAGTGTGACTTTACCATTATTGAATATTTTATATATACATCTTTATCGAAGCTATAACCGTTATTAAGTTTTTGGTGCCGTTGCTGAGGAATGAAATCTTCTAGTAGTAGTATTAAATAC